AAAAACTTCATTGCACTAAGTGCAATAAAGAACTTCTTTTTCCACTAAATATAGTTCAATAAAGTTCTGTTTTTTGCATGAATGTAGAAAAAGTATATATATTTGATATTTGATCAGGAGGAGTGAAAGAACTTACAGTCACAACTCCACCACATAAACAATTTAATACACAACAATGCTTATGTTAGTTTTTAAGTATTGATTGAAAATCTTAAGGTACCTACCAACCTACCATTATTGGTGGAAGAAGATTACTTAAAAAACATGAACAAAACTATGCGCGGTTAAAAATAGTTTTTTTTAATGTTTTTTAAGTAATCTTTTTCCACCAATAATAATTGTAGGTCCATTTTGATTTTTAATCAATACTTGAAAACTAACATAAGCATTGTTTCTTCTTAAAGATTTTTATTTTATAAATTTTATAAATTTAATTTTTGAAGTCTCATCTCATGACATTCATATGAGAGATGTTACGTCACTGGTGTAGAAGTAATGACGTAATAGACGATTTTTTCAAATACAAGCAGGGGTCATGTGACACCTCGTTTGAAAGGTCTACTGATCGTCTATCCAAAATTTTGCATAAGAATATTGCAATTAAAATGGATTATCATTTGGTTAACTGAATCTTGCAGAGGTCTGCTACTGAGAATTGAACATCGAAGGGTCGTCTAGTTGAAAAAATACACAATAAAAAAAGTTCTGAACTCTAGTTTTTGGATTTTTTTCGGAAGTCGTCTTGTTTTGAAATGAATTTATTCCATACATTTGCATCATACATCATACTGTATATATTTGTATTCAGAAAGAAGAGCTCCATCGATTAGGAGAATAAAATTCAGAGTGTTGACTTCAAAAAATACCAGTTTATATAAAAATTTCAAGTTTTCGATGCTTTTTTTGCATTTTCCAGTATAATAGATTCTGAATACCCATGAAATATATTTCATTTTTGCCCATATGAACGTTTCTGTAAGACCAATATTAACTGAGATAGCTATTGAGTGAAATATTAACAATCTCCACATTCAATCAATGTATTATTTATACATGGAATCCTGTAAACCTGAGAGATAGAAGTATAATTTGGCGTCCAACGTGACGCAACAAGAAATATCAACGTCAGGTAAGTAGTAACAGCGATGTTTCGGAAACTCAAGTTGCTGGCTCATATTTTACAGTGTACATGGAAGGATATTTGGTTATAAAAGGAGCTGAAGCACTGACGGGCACTATAGTTTGTGAGCTTGTTCAATTTATAGCGAAAAACTCACCCTGTCTGAATGGTGGTCGATTGGGAAGCAATAAAGGAATTTGTAGAATTTATGATACTTGTTATAAATGAATCGAGAAAACTTGTATCTATAGGATTAAGAATATGAAATGACAGATGTTTTATTAAATGTTTCACAATGTCAAGAGGTAAAAGCGTAAACAAATTAGATAGTAGAAGATAAGGGAATGGAAGAAGTTGCTGTATTGGGTGAAGTTTTGGTCAATTTGACTTTTAGTATAAAACATTTTGATATCTAACTTTTCGTTTTCCTCAAAATGTACTTTTAAAAAGAAAATGGTTTGTCACAGAATACTAGTCCGAGGTAGCGCGTATAGTTAATGGATTAAAACTCTTCGTTGAAACATGTCCTTTCGAGAGTTAAAGTCGAATTCAAGATAATGTCACGAAATTATGATAGAGAAAAGGTCTAAATGCCTTCGTAGGTTGGAAAGTTTAATCCGGAGTTGATCCAGTCCGGAGTGCGAATTATGCGTGTCCTTGGACCACCTAGCTAACATCCCTCATCCGCAGACTCTCACATGGACCCGTCCCAATCCCAATCCCAATTATTATTCCCCGTCGAAGTGCGTATAAGGGCGCGTGTGTAATGCTCTATCATTGCGACCGTGTTCCTATTCGAATGTATATTTTATACCTATGGTCGGTATACAGGGTGATTCCATTCTTAACGCATCTAGGAAACGCAGAAATACGCCAACTGAAGATTTTAGGATGATAAATGTAGTATGTTGCAACTTTAAGATCTTCATATTTTTTTAATTCTTCGAGAAAACTGTCCTAAACTTTGGATAGATATAAGTAAAGTAATTTGATGATATTTTGATAGATGACTTTGGGATCATTTTAGTACTGAAAACATCAATTCAAATCAATTTCGCCCCTAGATGATAGACGATACATCAACTTTGCAACAAACATAACACAAATTTAAAGCGGGGATTATTATTTTCTGAAGAAAATCATATTTCTGTCGATCATTAGTGATTGAAAGTTAGTAGTTCGTCGGTTTTGATATTCTGAGATTCACAGACATTTCGTAGAAATTGAAAAAAAATCAGGAACTATAAATTGTTATAGAACTTTCAAATTTGAGAGACATATGTTATATTGAAATAGGAACAACGCCTATTTTCAGCAATTAATTCGAAAAAATGTAACTTTTGACATGAATAATTCATGAACAATTCCAAAGTTTTTCCCACATGATGCTACAGTCGGCATCATGAATGACACTGTCGAGGACACTGTATAAGGAATATAGGTATGAGATATCGGTCATTACCGGTAAAGCCTGAAGTGACAGGACACAATTGAATACGTCAGAAAATGCATACCTATACTAACACACCGAATTTCGGTTAGCCACTTTCGAGAAACACCAGGTGAAAATGTAAACAGGCTGATTTCAAAATATGAAGATTTAGCTTATATTATATTTATTTTATTCGAAAATCTGAAAATTGTTATCATTTTTTTTTATTATGTCAAAATAATTCTGCAGCTTCATGTTTAACATGAAATATCTCGAAAAATAATGACTTTATCGATATGAAGAAGGAGTATAATATTTACGCAGGGTGGTGTAGTCATGTTATCGCCATCTCGTGGCATAGTTTTAAGGTAGGACCAAGAGATCACGCCATACACTGTAGGACGCTGCTATCTATAGTCAACACGGCTAGCGATAGCGATAACATGACTATACCACACCATCATGTAATACCCCCTGCGTCTTCGAAATGGGTGCAAAGCATAGAGTTGTCCCAGTTGTCAGCAGACCGAGAGCGGCTGATGAGGCCTGGTGGGCCGAAACAGTACTGTCTCGCTCCTGCTGACAATTGGGGCAGCTCTGTTCATTCTACATCTGTAAGTTATGTGATCTAGTTCAATAGAAAAATATAATATGCACGTAGGAAGAATTATAGAACCGAAAATTTGTGATTTAATGGCAATTCCGCCAGTGGCGTAGAATTTGGGGAAGATCAACCAGTCACTTGCCCCTGATGTCGTTCACTTCTGGTAGTAGCCAGTAACGTTCAAGTTACATAGTGCTTGGCAGGAATATTTTTTTATTTTCGAATAAAACACCCTGTAACTCAGACAGGGGACACATTTTAACTAGGTGATTTGGGTTAAATTTTCATATTCTGAGCTCTGGATTCTATAGTTGAAATATTTCTAATTAGTAATGAAACACCCTGTATAAGGTGAGGATCCGTTTTCATTTTGTTTGTAGTTGAAAGGTGATCAAGGTACGGGAGTTGCTCGAAAAGAGAGAATTAACAATTTCGTCTTGCATCTCAAAAACAAGGGAGGCTGTGAAAGTGATGAATTTGAAATTCATTTCTTAGGTGATGTTTCTTGTTAGTAATGTAGGGATAGATATATAATAATATATTCGATTACATAATACCAAGATATTTAGTTGAGAACACCAGGAGAGAAAAAACTAGTTTTTCCCTCGTCTAGCCAGATAGGTCATATGCAAATGCCTTTTTTCACCTCGTGCGATGCTGGGAGATCGAGATAGACGTTTTTCTGCATCTTCTTGACCGTTAAACTTGTACTATAACGACTAAAAACTCGATGAACTGGTTGAAAAAAAAAAATAGAACCCGCGTCGTAATTATATTTATCCTAGCAACGGTATTCAGTGTACCTAATGAAATTAAAATATTTCACCCCTATATGTCAGCGCAACATGGCAACATGTTTGCTTCTCAACCGAAATTATTGAATTCAATAATATTCTTCAGTTAATCCAAATATCTCTCTTGGAACTTTTTTGTTCATCTAAAAGGAAACCGAGAAGAAAACATAACGCATATACAATGATGCTGAAAACCTTATGAACAAAATAATTTAATTTTTACTATTTTATGATTGACTTCACATTGGTTGTGTTACATGTTACAATAACCCCAATAACTTGTTCATATGATGCTAATTTGTAAAGTATTGTGGTCTCAAATAATAACCCATCTAGACACAAAAAGGAATATTATCCCCTAGAATTATCATTAAATCAAACGACAATATGCTCGTTTGCAGAACCCCATCCCTTTTATAGGCCATAATTTCTATTCAACTTTTTTTTCTGCAAAAATAGTAATCCTCGTTAGGACCGTAAACTGAAGGGGAGTCCACTAGTCCAGTTGAAGTTATTTAGAGTATGAGAGCAGAACAAAAGTTTTGATGTTATAAATATGTTCATATCATAACAAACTCCATGTTGATTTGGTTGTTGGATCAATGAGGTTCAATATGCAACCACCAACGGTTATTTTCCTTTGGCGTTCTGAAACACATGTTTGGTCAATGATTAGACAAGCATCAAAGATGATACTCGGTCTCTGAGATATGGTCTTGGGCAGAAAAGACACCAAAAAATGATACCTACCAGCGAATAAGTGCATGCTTGTTAAAATGAAGTTCAATCTTTTCTTTTTGGACCGGACGAGTTGTTTTTTTCAGTTATTTCGAACACCACTATCAAATCTTTCAAGTCTATGCGAAGTTTATTTCCATGGTCCTTGCCTTGACTGTTTCAACCCACACCTGAAGATACTATTGGGTATGATATAGATTATAGACCATAAAGCGATTACTTTTAAACGTATATGAAGTAGATAAGAGCGTTGTAGAGACCCAATCACTTGGAACCTAACTTAACCCAATGTTGAAGTCGAATTATAACTGATTAGATCAGCTCTCCACCAAGCAAAAACACCAAAATAACTTCACTAACCTTTTTCTCCGTGAGTTTCTCGCAGCGCCTCTGCTTGCAGATCTGATGGCTCTTGTCGTTCCTGCAGGGCGCGCAGTCCCCGCAATTGTCCTTCCTCTGGCATCCGACGCACTCTCCGCACCTTTTCCTCTTCTTCTTCACCTGCTTGTCCACGCTGCCGCCGCTGATATCAGCGTCCATGTCCATCCCGTTCGCGAGCATCTGATGCGTCTTGAACCCCGCAGTGCTCGAGATAGCCGCCACTTGGCCCGAATTCTCCGAGCCTATCTCCATGTTGCTGGAAGCCCCGTCACTGTCCATCGAGCTCTCCAAGCTCGACGCCCGGATTTTCCTGCGCTCCTTCTTCCTGAAATCGTTCCGCGTGGGCGACGTTATACCGTTCATCTTCTTCTCGATGCCGTACAGCCCGTTGTCGGTCTGCACCTGGGCCATGCTGTTCTGGAACTGGCCCACGTTCTGCAGCTTGATGGGCTCCTGGTGCAGCAGCTTGAGCTCAGGCTCCGACTTCAAGACGGTCACCACCGTGGGCGCCGATATGAGCTGGTTGCTCTGGATGATGGCGCCGTTCTGGTTGTTGATGAAAGTCGGGTGCAGCGTATTGTTCAACGTGATATTCCCAGGAGGGTGGGAGTACAGTTGTATATGCCGCTCGTCGAGGAACTGCTGCTGTATGGAAGGTATCTCTCTGGCTTGGATTGGCGCCGGCACCAACGGATAACTACGCGGGTTCACGTTAACAGCACTTAGGGTGTGGAAGTTAGAGTTCAGAGGCGTCAGGCTGTGGCCCTGCGGACTGGAGGAGTTTGGCGACACAGGGGTGAGAGTTGTAAGAGTGGTAGGCTCGCCTGTCGCGACTGGTGGCTCGTTGAACGCTTGGAACTGCGACTGGAAGGAGGGTAGCTTGGAAGCGCCGTTTTGCTGGGCGAAAGCGTCCGCGAAGGTGTTCGTGGTGACCGAGTACGACGATGTGGACGCGTCCACAGGTTTCGACTCCCACGGCCGGTATTGCGGCTGTGAGGTGATGATGGACAGCCCGTTCTCGCCTCTGTCCAGCAGCCGGGCCTCCGTGTAGTAGTCCCAGTTGGAGATGTCCAGCAGCCTGGTGTCGCTGAACAGTCGGTCGGAGACAGAACTGAAGGCTCCGCTCGAGTCCATGTCGGATGAGAAGGTGGAGAAGGGTGGCAGGTTCGCCCCGGGTGGGCCTTCCTGGCCCGTGGAGCTCGGGGTGGCTGGAGTGGGCGGGTAAGATGGCGTTAGGGTCGTGTATGCGACCCCCAAGCCGTCTGGGTCTTGGCTGAGAGTGTCGCTCATCGTGCGAGCATGGCTGCCTGGCTAACTGGATATCATGGTGCCTCCGAATGTCACGCTGGGTTCGAGGGGGTTTAGAGTGGGTATGTTGAAGGCGTTATTGTCATTATGGTAATCCTGAAGTTCGCTGAGTTCGGTGAAGAGTTTTATTTGTACTCTGTTGTATTTGTACTGTTATGTTTCGTATAAAAATAGCGTTATCGTTTGTACATTATCTCATATAAAAATATCTGGAACAGAAGAGAGATATTTGAAATTAGTTATGAAGGAACCGTAGTACCTATGACGATGTGACTTTTAAAAACTTCTGGTCAGTTAATCAGCGGAGTTTTATTGGTATAGTTAAAACTAACGGTTAGAATTAGAGAAGTGTTTGATTGGTGAGGTAGCAATGGTTGGGTTGGGTCTTGCCAATACTTATTCAAGGAATAAAATGTCTTTAGTTGATTTTGTTTCGTTCATCATGTGGGTGTACATCAAACTTTGCCGCGCACAAAGATAAGATAAGATAAATTTATTCGTCAATCAAAGATTATACAAGGTATGGGTCATACCTCAGGTCATACATAATGTACGAAACTTATCAGACTAGTCAGAAAAAGGAATGTTTTCAAATACAATGCTAAAATAGTGTAGGTAAAGTCACAAAGACAGAAAATATCAATTGGTATCGAGTGCCAATTTCCGTGCAGGAAAGTGCAATGTTTTCATAATTTTCCTCAGGATGGTGATTGACACAGGTGCCGTTTGATGAACTACAATGTTTTTACTTTCCTTTGGAACATATTATTATATCATTTCGTTATTCGTTATCAGATGATGGTAGAAATCTGCAGCCGGGTCTCCTACTAACAGGTACAGATTTCGAATCCTTCACATCTGGAAATGTTCCAGATGTGAAAGATTCGTTTAGTAATAACCTCGGTAATAACTATGACATTATTTCTGCTAAGAGTACAAACCGATTTGCTCGCAGATTTGAGACTTTTACCATTTAAGAAACTTTCTATGAATGAATCCCCGATATATCGAGGTCCACCTCTCGGGCATGGGCGCACAGGGTTGTGGGGGTAGAGGGGAGAAAAAATAAGGAAACAAATATCTTTGTTTTTTCACGGTGACGCAGGAAAAGCGCACCCGCACGTCATAGAAAAGTCCTTTCTCGCACTCTCTAGCTCCATCTCTCTTTTGCTCGTTTCGGTAGAAAAGCGCATGCGCCGTTGGTGCGTAACGCAACGCATTTCCTTGTTGCCGGTGAGGTCACGGTCGTAAGCAGGGTTGCCAAGCGCGAGGAATTGTAGGGAAACTAGGGATGAAATTCAGAAGCATCAGAACTCGCATCCATCAGAACTTCTTTGGAATAAGGTTCAAGACCGCCAATTTTCGCTTGTTTATTGAATTCGAACAGTTGAATATGGAGATTAAGTACCAATTTCATGAACTGAAAATCTAGAAATTCCTATTATGTGCAATTTTGTCAATAAATATTTGTTGCAAAATGTTAGAGATACATAATTAAAAAATTCAAAGAAATCTGACTACTGGCAATCTCCAGTTCATATAATTAGCAAAATAAAGATGTCAGTGCCGGTAAAATTACTGCAAATAGTTGAATATTTTGAGCACTTACAAATTATAAAAACATATTTCTGAAAATATGTTCTTTCAAGTAGTTATTGTTGAACTTCAAAGAAATATATCATAGAGGTGGGTTTCGATTTATTTGATAAAAAAGATTACGACGATGAAAACAACAGAATTTATTCTATCGGTGAGAAAAATCGGATTCCACTGAAATTTCTGAGTAGGTAAATCTTGAAAATGAAAAAATGAAAGAGAAAACGACAATAATTGAACTGACGAAAATAATTGGAAAGGTATACATGGTAATAAAAAGTATGTGATTGTGAACATTCAATTTTTGTCATTTGTGACCAAAGTTGTCTTCATAAACCTTTCGAATTAATCATCTACTTAATGAAAATTAGTAGTTGGTATTGAATTCACATTGCAAATGCGGCTAACTTGACGTCCTTTGTGAAATGTGCTATAGAAGACTCCAATTAACTTTTTCGATCAGCTAATTGTCAAACTATTATCTCAATCTCGAAATTGGAATTATCTATCCATATCAGACCCTGCTATATTTTCTACCGAAAAAGAAATGGGAGATCTGGCAACTCCGCCAAACTTTGATATCTCGCGAAATTTTCAGCTCTGAGTGTACGAAGCGGCGTCGTTACTCTGGAATGATTCACAATCAAGAAAAATCAATAGTTTAAAAACATTTTGGCGAAGGTTATGAAGGAAAACCGGTGTAGGCGGCTGAATTTAGTCTCTCGAGTTCAGTTCGGTATCGCGACTTTATCGCGAATAAATTTTTTACTCCTCCGAATTTTTCTTGATTTATCTTGATTGGAAAATTGAGGAGTAAGATTTTCATCAGAATGGAAATTTTACCTCTGTTAACTTGTTTCTTCCAGCAGTGGAAGATTTAAAATCAATGCCAGGATTGAATGATGACAATTAATTTTTATTGGGTATTATCCACCCTACGTTGATCGGTTGATGCGTATTCTCACACCAATATCTACAGCGTGATTGTCGATCACAAATTCAAGTGAATTATTTCATTCATCATTAATTCAGTCGGTAATTCAAACTCTTCCAGAACTATATTTAAGAAAATTTATCCAAAAATAATTTTCTAGTGAACCACTTTCATCAGAATTTTAAAACGCGTCCTGAACTGCCATCAAAAACTTTTTTTTTCATGACCATTTACCAAAGTTGAGACTTCAAAAAGTACTAAATTTTTAGGTATAAACATGAACCACAATATCTCGTTCAGTACTCACTGCAGTAAGCTAAGCAAATCAATGAATTCATAATGTTACCAAATCAGGGTTCTCAGAAATGTTTTGGAGAATCGAGGTCTGAAACAATATATTACTTTATTTGGTAAGATTCAGTCTAAATTAGAGATTACCATGTGGAATAATGTTATGGGGGACTCAACAGAAGTATTTATTTTCCAAAAACGGATCATTAGATCGATTCCAGGAGTATCATCTAGGTATATTCTCATGTCGTAGCCTTTTCAAAAAACTTGAAATTTTACCACTGGTTGGCATTTTCATTAAGGAAATCTCAGTTTATGTTCACAGGAATAGTGAACTAGAACAAGAAATGATTTCATATCCCTAATACCTTGTATGAAATCATATAAAATTCTGGGACTGAGATTATAATAAAACGTTCTTCCAGATGCCCTGAGAAATATCAACTCAGTTCATTGCTTCAAGCAAATGCTATGTAAGTTACTTTTAGCTTTTAGAAATAAGCCCATACACAATAGCTGAATTTCATGAATATCTCAAATGATTTCATCAGAAGTTTGGTTTGATGTTCCTTTTTCAAATAGTCTTGTATAGTTTCGTACTCGGTTTCGTATATATGTGATGAATTTGTGTATCTGATTAATGTTTAGTGTATTATTTGTTATTTTTTATTTCAATTAGTTTTAGCCTTTGACCTGTCCAATAGGTGTGTTATTTAGCTCATTTTGCGGATTAAAACTTCTATCGATCCATCTATCTATCTCGAGATCTATCTATAGCAAAGAACTTTTTCTGATGACTAGGCAGAGAAAGTACACATTTGCTGCCTGTTAAGTGTCGGAGAAAAGCCACTTTCTATACCATTTGGAAAAAAAATCCGTTCAAATCGAGGTAGTGAAAAAGTATCGGAAAATGTGATCTGACGAAAACAGATTTTCACTCATTTCTTGAGCTCTTTCCAATCAGGATTCCCCGGAAATGAGAAAAATATCACCGTGCCAATTCCAATTTGATGTCTTATTACATTTTAATCTGCAGGATTACGCTTTCTTCCTGAATGTAAAGGCATGAAGAAAGAGGAAATAGCAAATATTGAGAATGCCAACTGGAGGTCTAACCTTCAATGAGAAATAACATGGGTAAAATCGAATGCAAAAGATGAGAAATAAAATGGGTAAAATCGAATGCAAAAGATGAAAAATCCTCGGAAAAATCCGAGGAAAAATCGTTCGTATTGAGTTTGTCCGATCTAAACCAATGGTTGAAGTCTTGGTTGAAATATAAACATATATACAGTATGCCCAAGATAAGGATGAACAGCATGGGGATCTCAGTGACCGTAAGAGTTACACAGAAGGTCCGACGGGCAAAAAGTTGCGAAGGGTCAATAAATGATGTTAAGAATAATAAGAAAATCCGAGAGAAAACCCAAAAATGTTCTTTACTTCCGGAGATATTCTAAAAAAACCGGGATTCGTCGATACGGTTCATATATTTTTTTAAGTTATTAGAAGAATTTCGAAAAAACCAGTGGCACTTTCCTATTTCCACTTTTTCACCGAGTTTTCACCTCTTCCAAATTTCTTTCACAAAATCTTCGTATACAATGTTTCGTCTCGAAGAAACCGTCATCAACTTCGTTTTTTATATGACACTAAAAATAAGTACACCCTGTATGACATAGAATTTTCTATTGGTAATCCAACGACGTACGGTAATATGTTTTTCTTCCGGTTTTTTTCGAATATCTCCGGAAGAAGAGAACATTTTTGGAACTTTTCAACACCTATTTGACCCGTCAATTGCGCAACTTTTGCTCATTTGATCTTCTGTCTAACTCGAGGTCTAACTCTTATACGGTAGATCCCCATGCTGTTCATCCTTATCTTGGTCACACTGTATGTGTAAAACTTTGTACACGTCAAACCTCTCTATCTCCGTCTAAACAGAAATGGACGTTTTTCAGCAATTCTTTGTATATTGAGGCCAGAGAAGAGCCATCCGCCTAGTGGGTGATGCCACACTCACTTATACTTTGGCTTCATTTTTCTCACTGTAGGAAAGTCGGCGACCTTTCACTTTTGTAAGATACTTCCACGTGATATGTTCCTCAGACATCTCTGCTATCATTCCTTCCTATAGGAATTTCCTTTCGTGCGCTCCAATAGAAAAAAAAATTTTTTTGGTACGCCACTGGCTGCCGACGCCGCCGCGCGGATTTGTCAACGTGGAGAACATCCAATCGTGCTCGTCGTTTGTTATTGAGTTTGTTATTGTGATTTCGATAGCAGGTCGTGATTTTTTATGAGCAGCAACAAAATGGAAATTTTAGGTTTTGGTAGATAGTATTGGAAAAAATCCTGCTAGGGCCGATTTCCCCCGCTCAGAATCGAGCACAGAAAATGATATAATGGCAAACAAAGCATGAGATAAATCCTCGGATAAATCATAATAAACATTATTTAGCAAACAGATATCAATCAATATCGAATCAAAATCTTATTAATGTTGTCGAAATTTTGGGTTCAATATTCATGTACAGTGTGACCCATTTAAGATGGAAGCACCCTTATAAAACTTACATTTTTCAACCGATTGGAATGATTTTTTTTTTGTTAGGTAGATATTCAAAAAGTCTATTAGGACACCAAATATCATGAATAAATCTCCATTTCCAGGGCCAACTAATCTGATTTTTCAAGGTCAAAAATCTAAAAAAATTACTAGCGATTTTTTTAGAAAAAATCTGACTACACCACTGGATTTGTGACATTTTCGAATGGGTAACATGTAAATTACGTTGAAATGCGTCAATCAATAAAAAAGTTATAAAGGAATGAAATTTGAAAAATATGCCGTTTAATCGCGTTTAATCAACCCATCAATGTTTATTGCTGAACAGATTTCGTTGAAACTGTGATCACTAATATTTCAAGACATCCTGAATCCAGTGGAGTATACAGAATTTTCATAAAATTCCTGAACATGAATTGGTGGGTTGATTAAACGGCATATTTTTCAAATTTCATTCCTTTATAACTTTTTTATTGATTGACGCATTTCAACGTAATTTACATGTTACCCATTTGAAAATGTCACAAATCCAGTGGTGTAGTCAGATTTTTTCTAAAAAAATCGCTAGTAATTTTTTTAGATTTTTGACCTTGAAAAATCAGATTAGTTGGCCCTGGAAATGGAGATTTATTCATGATATTTGGTGTCCTAATAGACTTTTTGAATATCTACCTAACAAAAAAAAAATCATTCCAATCGGTTGAAAAATGTAAGTTTTATAAGGGTGCTTCCATCTTAAATGGGTCACACTGTATATAAAAAAGCTTGGGCCTTACCGACGGCCTTACGTATAGGAAATGAAAATAAAAATTATCTATACTCAACAAAATATCGATGAATACGTATTTCGGCAACTAAGTGGCCATTTTCATTACATAGACCAGGACCTGAAAAGTCTAAGTACACATAGATAATTCAACATAACGGAAAACTCACATTTTTGGCGATATTTCGATACCTGTCGATGTATGTATTGAATTCGGTTTTAAAAAATCGTTTTTCCTAGCTATTGTGAATATAATACCAACGTGTTTTTTCGAGGGGTTTTTGAAAATCAAAATTGAGACACAGTAAGTTCAGTTCGGTGATTTCTAGACGAAACACTTCAAATTTAATGACATATTCCCCAGATCCTTCTGCTTGAGTACGTTTCGTTTATTTTAGAAAAAAATTCAAAGCATAATTGTGCGATAAGGACTATCAGGACTACAATATTGAATATATAGGTACGTACGTTTTCTAAATTAATAATCCAAATCCACGTCAAAATCGGACCGATTTACAAATTTCAATTTTGTAGATTTTTCAGTTTGTCAAGTGATTGTCAACATGATATCAGATATAAGAATTATTAGATATGGAAGTAGATAGACAATAGATGTAACTAATTAGGATTAGGAACTTAGAAGTAACTTCAGCTAAAGAAAGATTCATGATGTCGAAGTCAAGGAATTCGAATAATATTTCCAAATCACAAGGGCTGCAAAAAATACAAGTCATAGCATTCTGTGACTGAAAATATATGGGACAAACAGGCCGAAGCAGAGGCAAACGATTCAAAGATCATAATATTGCTCACTTCAAAATAAATATACCTAATCGGTTTGATATGGAAACAGTATTTACATCAATTTAAATAGGGATCAGTTGGAACCATACCAGCTTTTTGTATTACTTTGACATGACGTTCATTGAAGCAGAACCTTTCCTGAACCATAAAATAATTGGGAAGAATAGGGTATCAACAATATCGACAATCACTTTCCTGAAAATTCAACTCACATTTGGCTAAATGCTCGGCTAAATGCGTAGGTATTCAGGCGTTTCTAAGTATTTTTGTGTATATTTTTGTATCTGATATTATCATCATATAGTGAGCTCACAGAAACGTCAGGAATGTTTTTCTGTCATGACCTCAACCCAACCACCAAAAAACAATGAAAACGAACGCTTTTTTCCGGAAAATCCAAGTGTCGCACTTCAAACCTTCATATTTCTTTGCGTACCAGCACGAAAACAGAATATTTTTTCAAAATATACCAAGCTCCGTGAAGAAATAACCTCACTTTCACTGACCAAAAATTTTCGCGTCCATTATTTTTCGAAAAAAATCGAAGCAAACGACATCCAACTAACCATATGTAAACAAAAAAAATAGTATTCGCACGCACACAACCGTCACGCACGTTGGAAACAACTGAAGGTTCACATTTTTCGAAGCTTTGATGTCTCGCGCCGCGCTTCGCATCTGTCGTGGTTTCCGGCCAATGGCAAAGCTCGGTTGGTCGACGTCGGTTCGAGTCGGCCTCGTCCGCCGATCGCGAAAGCTCCTTTTCACATGCTTTTCACGCGCTACCAACGGCGCGGCGTTGCCACATCGGACGGTTCGTAGGTAGTTCTGCGGATCGTCTCGCGCGAATTTCTATTTCTAGGACAAAGGGGGAGTTTCAAAATTGAGTTTTGTGGGAATATTAGATCAGGAATTTAATATCAGCTTTCTGGGAATACTAAATTTTTTAGATTGAAACCAACAAAATTGAATATAGCGGATTCAATATTCATTCGACAACAGCGAAAAGGAAAAGATTATGATTGTTATAAATGGACCATTCAAGATAACAAGATTGAAATACATTCAAGGAACATTTGCATATGTGAATTATGACAACAATGGGAAAAAGAAGAGTCTCCCCATGTTACCAATTTGAGAAAGTTTCATCACAGGAGTGATGATTTCTAGCATATCAGACCAGGAATTCAATATTAGCTTTGTGGGATTGTGGGAATATAAGATCAGGAATTTAATATTCCTCAGTATATGTCTGTCACCCTGTATTAGGGATGATGATATCCATGGATAATATAAAAACATGTGAATATTATTATTGATAAATAAAAAGATAAGTAGTATATTGGAATTATTCCAGAACTTGAATATAAAGTTGTTACAAGTTTGAGTATTGAAATATTATGGTCTAGATTTTGAAATTTGGAGGATATTTTCGGAATATTTTATTTTTGGTATACAGGAAGATGAAGATTTCTTAGAAACATGTTTCTCATGTACTGATTGTTATTTAATCGATGAAGTGGAATATTCAGCCATGAAATGACGAACAATCATTGAATAATTGTACAGGTAATCTAATTTTTCCTCACTAAAAATCCATATTTTATTATATTTCCATTAGAAAAGTTTAGGAAATTTGGTGGATATGATTGATATGAACAGAGAGTAAAGACAAACATGAATTTTTAGTTTTTAACAGTTGAATTGCGTTCCAAAACAATTTTCCAAAAAAATGTTCATCAACCATCGGTATATACAAAAAATAGCGGAAACAGACCAATGATTACATGACATTTCTGACTATAATACCTGCCCAGATTGATTTCTTTTCACATCAATATTCACCTAGGAAAAATCTTGTATATTCCATATTGTTCATCTTTCCATTTAGTATGAGACCCAGTATAAATTTGTTGTATGATAAATCATTTGGGTGGTATATAGCTATTCAACAATAGGTACCTACCTAAATAAAAAATGGACAAATAAATGAAGGTGATAATTGAGCGTGATATATTCGATCACACCTCTCCCGCCGAAAAAAATTATCTACACCTCTCTTAACTGAGTGTTTCTAAATATCATGTATACAGTGTCATTCATAAAGTTGGCATCATATCGAAAACACCTTTAATAATAATTTATTTTGACATTCGACTTGGGCGTTGAGTTTTCCCTCGAAAAAGATGAAAATTGGCCTACTTGGCCGGAGTCATTTGACTCTCACTACATGTCGAAAGTTTTTTTCAAATTAATCGCTAAAAATAATATTCTTTGTTGGAATGTTAAAATTAGTTCACCAATTAGTTTTGAACATTCTATTGCAACTTTTAGTTCTTGATATTTTTTCATTTCTTCTAATTGTAACTTCGACAAAACTGTCCTAAACTTTGATTAGATACGTAAAGTATAGTTTGATAATATTCTTATAGTTGACTTTGGCATCAAACAACAGAAATTTGAAGCGGAGATTATCATTTTCTAATTCAACTAATTTCCTGACTATTTGCCACGTCGAACATTGAAATATATCTGTTGTTATCTGTTGTTATCTGTTGAATATTCAGAATGATATTATGTGCATATTCATATTTTTATCTGAAGAAAATCTCAGAAGATTTTGTTTTCAAATTGTTATCGTGTAGATATAATTCAGTATTCGTCGTGGGCATATAATCATGAAAGTAGTTTTTTTCTGTTGAATAAACGACCTCTGAATGGAAAAGTACAAAAAAAAACACAAGGTGTTTCATTCAAATATCGAAACGTTATGTTAAAAGCTCACAATTTTTGGGACATGCTTTGTTATAGTTAATGATACATGAAGGTGTATATTTTTTTCACCAGTAGCAATATATTTCAACCATCATATAGTGCTGTGAAACTGAAATATAAACCTATTGTCATGCATTATGAAAGCATTTTTTTTTTTCATTTCTGATTAAAATCTAGTACCTAGTCATGAACATGACAGCATATTATGACAAATCGGTATTTATAAATACCTACCTAGTAGGTTCATGTACCATTCCTGCATCAGAACATTGAATTTATTTGATAATTATACATCCGTTTGGCTGAAGGACTCAGGTCGATGGCCAGTTGATTGTATTGTACATATGATCAATAAAGCACTTTATTATTATTATTATACATCCAACAGGCTAATTGCCTAATAACAGGAGTATTTTACAGAAATGAGCTGAACGCTAATGATCATCCATAAATACATAATGATTAATTCGGAATGACACTAAAAACTTCGTTCTTGAATGCTCGTAATGACAAAAAAAATATGTCAACATTGACAGATCGCAAATTATTGTATATTCTACACATATTCGAAATAAGACAGTAATAATGGTGTCGCGAATTAGATACTACCAAGTGAAAGGTAGTATTTGTTCTATATAGACGTAATTCTTGGGCCATTGAAGTCTACTGTCTATGCCATTATTGATGAGTTTGTATAAAAAAAAAGCCTCTGTCTGGATAGATACCATGTTTTTTGAAAAAAGCATATTTTAAAAATTTCTTCTGGACAGCTTCCAATGCATCTACATATTTTGTATAGTTAGGGTTCCATATGACACTACAATATTCCAGCTTGCTTCTAACCATTGAGTAGTAAATATTACGTAACGCATTGAAAGAATGAATGAATTCGGGTTTAATCATAACAGAGGTGGCTATGTCTTTATTAACAAGTAGTTTATAACATGACGAAAACTACCTTTGTAGTAAAAAGTAAATAATGGTAGGTTTTATAGGTAGCTGATTATGGAAACTATGATTAGAGAATGGGATACTCTAATCTACCCATTTGGCAACGTCGCTCTTACCTCCGCGGAAGATCTGTTTTGTATTGAGTTCATTGGTTTTTGCAGATGGACGGATTTCGGAGCTTCGCGGAGCCTGGCGGAGCTTTCGATCGCCAAAACTTTCGTGTTTTCAGTGCGCGCCACCAAGCTTTCCGACGTTGCCAATTCAACGAAAAACAGGCGAGGTCTCCGACTTTCAGAAACAACAAAGGAGGTAGTAAATGACAAGCTGGTACAACACCAGTTTAAACATTTCTCTATGTTTGAAAGTATGAAATTGTTATGCACTAATTGACAGGATTTTGAACACTGCCTTTTGCATAACAGCTTCATTATAGTATTAATACATTCATTCAATGAGAATATATATTTTGGTTATTGTCATCAATGACATACTGTAGAGCTCTTTCTTGATTTCAAAAATATATTGTTTCCCAAGGAGTTGACGAAATTTCAGCAAAAATGAATATGACTGTTATGGTATGGTAATAGTTGAGATTGCGGATCTCGATGCAAATCAGGAACTTTTTGACATTCACCAAAGACTTGCATTGTTGTGAAAATAGCGGAATAATCTTTGTACGTTTGATTTGAATATCTTTGAATGATCAATTCTTCAAGTATTTGACTTAAACAGTCTGAATCATTTGAGAAAAAAATCCAGAATTATATTTGATATTGTTATAGTATGATTGTGAATAAATAGAATTTCATATTAAAACTAATTTTGCCTATATTTCGTCAACTCTTCGATAGAATAATAATATATGGAATATATGGAATATACAGGGTGGCATTGAAATTAGTGCAAATATTTCAAACACTGAGGAAGCTCGACGTGTACAATTAAAACATTTAAGCATCTAAATGTCATTGTATTCTGGCCACAGCCAACTTCATGTATTTCATTAAAAAGCAATTTAACAGCCAATCAATGAACGAATATCAAATTTTCATAAATATAGTTGGATAGAGAATTTCAAGGCGAGTAAGCTAGGCTACAATTGGAAATCTCATTCAAGTTATTTTTTCCAAATTTCGGATTTCGGAGAAATCAGCTCTCAAAGTCGTGAAGTCCATAGTCAATCACCCTCTCGGCCTCTCTACCACCCGGTAAAATATAGACAAGCAGCAGAGTAATCGTAGAAAAATAAAAAGGTATGCTTTATTCAGAATAAACTAACTCCATTTCGATTTAAATAATTGAAAAACACATTTCCGGAACGGGATGAACATTTCATGCTTTCCCAGTCAAAAAGAGCAGCAGGGACGAAGCGGCGAACGCCAGGAAACCTGCTGCCTGCGAGGCTGCAGGAGCGCCATCCTTTTTGGTCGATGACTCAGCATCTCCAGCTCCAGCTCCAGCTCCATCTCCAGCTCCACCTCCAGCTCCAGCTCCCGCGTCGGTTTCATTCTGTGCTTGGACGGCGACGATCAGCAGGAAAATCACCAAAATGATGACCCGAAGAGATACTCCGAAGACCTTCATAATCTGAGAAAAAAAAAAAAAATATGTTTTTGGATGCATGACGAATTGATATTCATCATACAGGACGTGGAAAGAAATTCTGAATTGAGATAACCCAATCACGAATCAAGTTTGAACCCGTTGATTGGGTATGAAAGTATTGGAAAGGAATATTTCAGATATATTATGAACATAAAAAATTGGATGTACAGTGTGTCCACCTTAAGGACTTACCACCCCTGTAAAATTGTTATTATCTGACCGATTTCAAAAAACTTTTTATTGTTGGATAGGTATTTGAAATGTC